GGAAGCCTGCTTCTCCCTCTCCCACTCCCCCTGCTTGTGCTCTCTCTCTCACTGTATCTCTCTCTGTCAAATAAATAAATAAAATCTTTAAAAAAAATAAATCAGTTGGTCCTCTACCAAATGATTTTCCATCCCATTTGCCATCTTCATTTCCTGTCTGACAGTGGAGATTTTTCTAGCTATAAGGTGACTCCATTCTCACCAGGCTTCTCATTGTGGTTTGGCTCCTTGCATAGATTATGCTGACAGGAATTCACTGTTTTTGCTTTGTGACTCATTCAACAAATATGAGCATTTTCTGTATGCCAAACTCTGCCCTAGGTTCTAGAGGCAAACAGGACAGAGTTTAGAGTCTAGGAGCATTCTGACTTTGTCTCATTTGTAAAGGGAGCCTCATTCATTCAGGATTTGCATTCAGCTGCAAGCAACAGAATCTTGAAAAATTGTACTTTAAACCAGATTTAGGGGCACCTGGGTGGCTCAGTTGGTTAAGCATCCCCACTCTTGATTTCAGCTCAGGTCATGATCTCAGGGTCATGAGATCGAGCTCTGCGTCAGGCTGCATGGGGTGTGGAGCCTGCTTAAGATTCTCTCCCTCCGTCCCTCCCCCGCTCTAAAGCTCATGTTCTAAAATTAATTATTTAATGAAAATAAACCATAATTTAAATTTTTTTTCAAATGAGCAGGGAGGCAGTCCAACGCTGGTACGTCAGTTCTATGAAGCCGTACAGGAATCCAGTTTCCCTCTTTCTGCTCCACTACCCTTAAACATATCCTTTTTTACCCCAAGATGGTCCTATAGCATCACATGGTCACCCAGGCAGGAAGAAGGGAGGGGAGAGGAGTCTGGTGTATTTATGTTAAGAGCTTTCCAGAAGTACCCCCTCAGCCAGTGACTTCCTTTTCTATATCACTGGCCAGACCTATATTCAGTGGACCCCAGTAACTGTGTAGGAATCTGGGAACTGTAGTTTAATTTGTATACCACTGTTGTGAATGAACTCAAGGCTCTGCTAGAGGAGGGGGGAGATAGGATTTGGGGTAGGTGGCTCATGGTATTTGCGACGTTTGGTTTTTATGCATATGCTCAAGAGACAGGAGAGTGCATGATGAGTGTGTTGTCCTTCGGAATGCTGACGGAATCAAGGTCCTAAACATGAAGGGTACAGGCTTGGGCTCACGGTCGGCTCAAATCACAGATAACTATCAATGTTGTAAGGTTTCTTGAGACAGAGCCTGCTCACACGGGGGAAAAGAATTTTCCAATGAAGAAAGATCAGTTCAGTCCTTCCATCGTTAGTCTCATTTCCCAGGCCCTCTTTAAGTTTGCGGCTTTTTCTGGCATTGTGAGTTGGTACTTGACATGCTTTAGTTGCTGTTTTTAATATCTTCTACTTCTCGTTCTGGAAGGTGGATCTTTAGTTCTCACTAGTGTTTTCCCTCTGCTCTCCGGTGTTCTGGTTCAGAGTTCTTGTCCTGGGCTGCCCTGTGATTCTGTTTGTGGACTTCCTGTTGCTTTTTTCCACTTATCCCTTGTGTTGATAGAGTAAGTATATCCGTGCATTTCTAAAAATATTCTTGTACTTACCACATGCTTAACAGTTGGCATAACAGAGTATAGAATTCTAGCATGCAGTCACTATTCGTCAGATTTGAAGAATACTGTTTGATTCTAGCTTTTACAGTTGCTGTGAGGAAGTCTGATGTCTTTTAGGTTCCTGTTCTTTTCTATGTGATCTTTTCTCTTTTTTCTCTGTAAAGACTTAAGGATCTTTTTTCCTTTGGTGTTAATAAATTTTACAGTGGGGGTTGTGTGTGTTTAAAAATTTGTTGTATTAAGCCCCGGGTGTATCATTTCATTCAGGAAACTTGTCTTCTGGGAAACTTTCTTGAGCTATTTCTTTGGTAATTTGCCCTTGTCTCTGTCTTCTCTTTTTGGGGACTCTTTGTTAATTGTTAGGCCTCCTGGATTGAGCTTCTGCTTTCCTTTTTTTTACTCTCGATGTCCATCTTGTTGTCCTCTCTTACTCAGCCCCACTTGTTGGCCAGTTCCGATCGCTGGTTCTGTCCGTTCCTGCGGCTCTGCGCTGGAGGGCCAGCCCCTCGGACGTGGGCCTCCGTTCTCTGGTCATGACTCTGCCATCTGTTCTGACATCTTGGGTTTGCTATCATCCTTTCATTCCTTGTTCTCGTGGGATTGTGCTTTTCTAAATTCACATTTTAAAGTGTACAGGTGAGTGGTTTTTCATGTATTTGTAAGGTTGTGCATCTATCAACACTAATTCCAGATCATTTCATCACCTCAAAAAAAAAAAAACCCTGTACCTGTTGGCAGTTATATTCCATTCCCCCAACACACCGTGGTAGCCCCTGTTTTACTTTGTTTCTGTGGGTTTGCCTATTCCTGGACATTTTATGTAAACAGAATCATCAAACGTGTGATGCTTTGTGCCTGGCTTCTTTCAGTTGGCAAAATATTCTCAAGGTTCATCCACGTTGTAATGTGTATTCATACTCCATTCTGTCTTAAAATTTTTTATTTTTTAATAACTCTAGTGAGAACACTAGTGAGAACTAAATTTGTCTTTTCAATTATTTTCAGCTATACCATCCAGTGGCATTTAAATGCATTCAGTGTTATGCAACCATCATCACTACCCATTTCTGGAACTTTTTCCTCATCCCAAACATTGTTTAGTCATTAAACAGTAACTGCCAGTTCTCCCTGCTCCTCCAGCCCCAGTAATCTTCGTTCTACTTCATGCCTCTAGGAATTTGTCTGTCTGCCATGGGTACTCCTATGAATGGAATCCTACAGTATTTGTCCTTTTGTGATTGGCTTCTTTCACTTAGCATGAGGTTTTCAAGGTTCATCTGTGTTGCAGCATATACCAAACTTCATTCATTTTAAGGCTGAGCAGTATATTGTGTGGATCCTACTGTGTTTTGTTCATCAGTTGGTCGACATTTGGATTGTTTCCTCTTTTTGGCTACTGTGAATAATGTTGCTTTTTACATTGGTGTACAAGGTCTTGTGTAGACCCAGATTTTCATTTTTCTTGGGTTTGTACCTAGGAGTGCAAGTGCTGGGTCATGTAGTAACTCCCATGTTTAACTTTTTGAAATACTGCCAAACCGTTTTCCATAGTGGCTGCAACACTTTACTTTCCCACCAACAGTACGAGGGTTCCAGTTACTCCACATCATCACCAACACTTATTTTCCATCTTTCGAATTATAGCCATCCTAGTGGGTATGAAGCAGTTATCTCGTTAAGTTTGATTTGCATTTCCCAATAACTAATGTGTTGATTGGCTATTTGTATGTCATCTTTGGAGAAATGTCAGTTCATATTCTTTACCCATTTTTAATTGGGTTTTCTGTCTTTTTATTCTTATAAAAGTTCTTTATATTGTCTGGATACTAGATTTTTTTAAAAATATGATTTACAAATACTTTCTCCCATTCTGCGGGTTTTGTTTTTACATTCTTTTTCTTTTCAGGAATGTATGAATGTCTTTTTATTTAAAGATACAGAATTAGGGCGCCTGGGTGGCTCAGTTGGTTGGGCGACTGCCTTCGGCTCAGGTCATGATCCTGGAGTCCCGGGATCGAGTCCCGCGTCGGGCTCCCTGCTCGGCAGGGGGTCTGCTTCTCCCTCTGACCTTCCTCCCTCTCATGCTCTCTGTCTCTCATTCTCTCTCTCTCAAATAAATAAATAAAATCTTTTAAAAAAAAATAATGAAGATACAGAATTATCTGTAGGTACGGACGATGACAGCAATAAACCATTAATTGTGTTATCAGCTTAAACCAGTAAGTAATGGCTATAGTGATTTTTCTTCAGTCATTTTCTTGATAATGTCCTTTGAAACACGGAAGTTTTTACTTTTGAAGTCCAGTTTATTCTTTTGGTGATGTGTGCTTTTCACGTAATACTAAGAAACCATTGTCTAATTCAAAGTCATGAAGATTTACACGTCAAGGTTTCTTCTGAGAGTCTTACAGTTTAGCTTCTACGTTTAGGTCTATGATCCATTTTGTTAACTTGTGTTTGTAGCTTGAAGTGGGAATCCAACCTCACTCTTTTGCGTGTTGACGTCCAGTTGTCGCAGCACCTTTTTTTGAAAAGACTACTTTTTTCCTGTTGAATGGGGCTGGTTCCCTTGTTGAAAAATCCGTTGACTACAGAAGTATGGGTTCATTTCTGGACTCTCAGTCTGCATTGTCAATTCTATTCTGTTCATCTATGTGTGTCCTTATGCTATTACCACACTGGCTTTGCTGCTGTAGCTTTGTCATAAGCTTTGAAATTTGGAAGTGTGAGTCTTCCATTTTCTCTTTGTAAATACTGTTTTGGCTCCTTGGCATCCCTTGAATTTGCATGTGAATCTTCAGGTCAGCTTGACCATTTCTGCAAAAAAGGCTATTGAAATTTTGGTAGTGGTTGCTTTGAATCTGTAGATCAATTGGGGAATATTGCCTTAACTATATTAAGTCCTTTGAGCCATGAACATGGGATGTGTTTCTATTTATTTATATCTTCTTTAATGTCTTCAACAGTATTTTGTAGTTTTCAATATTCAATTCTTACACTTTAGATTTATTGTGATTTCTTTTCATGCTGTTGTAAATGGAGTGGTTTTCTTCATTTTTGGATTGTTTATTGCTGGAGTATAGACCTACAACTACCTCTCATATATTGATATTATGTCCTGCAACTTGTTGAGCTCATTTTTTTTTAAACCTCTAATTTTTTTTTTTTTGATTCTTCGGGCTTTCAATAGTAAGATTATGTGCTTCCTCTTGACTACCTGTTTTCCATCTCCACAGGCCTTGTTGCTTCTCCACCGACGATCAGCACCCCCTGAAGAGCAGCATCTGGTGGCAGCAGCCAAGCTTCTTGTTCTCCTTAACCTGTCCTTTACGTACCTGAAGCTGGAGCGACCTACCACAGCCTTGCGCTATGGAGAACAAGCTCTGATCATCGACCGGAAGAATGCTAAGGCCCTCTTCCGGTGTGGACAGGTGTGTTGGAGGCCAGGGACTTGAGAACGAATGCCCAGGAAAAGATAGTGAAAAAATGCTGTCTTTCCTAACCAAGTGTGTTTTTAAAACTATCCTTTGACAGGCCTGTCTACTCATGACTGAGTATCAGAAGGCCCGAGATTTTCTAGTCCGAGCCCAGCAGGAACAGCCCTTCAATCATGACATCAATAATGAGCTGAAGAAACTGGCCAGGTGAGACCTGTTTGCAGGAGTACAAACCAAAGAAAGAGGCGAGTGCCATGGCTGGGGCTCTGGTGTCTCCACCTGGGTAAAGGACTGTTTGGGAATGTTGCCCAGCATGTGTTGGGAGGCAGCGCCCCCTAGAGCTGACTTTATGAAGTGCTAAACCAACAGCTTCCTCCAGACTACAAGTCTGTTCCCCACTTCCTACCCCCAAAGTAAGCACCTTAAAACAGGTGGGCCAGTGTAATTTTTAAAAAGGGCCTTGTTCTTCAGCTACTCCTCCCTACTTGCCATCAACTGAAAACCAGTGTTCTTAACAGATGGCAGAAGGTTGTCTTACAGATCCTGTTTGGTCTGCAATGCATCTTTCAGGTCTGACTCCTACGCATAGGGTGACTTTCTTGTTACCCAAGTAAAATATGTACCAGTGTTTCAGTAATACAACATTTTGTGATTATAGACGTCATTTTCAAAGTTTTCTACAATGACTATATTGGCATATAAATAGTCTGTAATTCCAACACCTCATAATCTATCCACTGTCTTTTTAGGTGGTTTGTTTTGTTTTGTTTTGTTTTTGTCCTTCTGTATTGCTCCTGTTGACATTAAACATTTACTCTAGATTGCTAGTTAAAGCTTTTGATGTTAAAAAAGTCTGAGGTGTGTGCACCTCTTATACTTAGATCCATTTGTTATATTTCAGGCCTTTTAGGACTGTCCAGCAATTTCCTTTTTTTTTTTTTTTTCTGAAATGACTTGTATTTTAAAACTATCTTATTTTTAAGTAATCTCTATACCCAATGTGGGGCTCAAACTTACAACCCCAGGATCAGAGTTGCATGCTCTACCAACTGAGCCAGCCAGGCATCCCCCTTTTCTGGTTTTTAAAAGTATCCTGTCAGTCCCACCTAGGGTACCAAAAATAATTTTTAAGAGAAGTATCCTGTCAGGATACTTATAAGTTAGATGTAGAAATTTTGGAATCTGACCATTCTTTAGCAAAGAAATCTGAAGATAATTTAGAAGCCACGGAGTATGAGGCCACTTGGCAAGAGGTTCAGCCTGGCAGCCCTTATAAAGTGGCTCCCAGCCTTTAAGGCTGCAGTCTTTTCAGGTTGTGGGCTTTCTGTCCAAGGGCTTCTTGAACAGCCTCTGAGGTAGAGGTTTACTGTTACTGTCCCCTCTGAGGGGAGTTTCCTGGCTCCCCTACCTCCAGCATGGCTTCCATCCCCTCCTAATTCACTTCAGGACCTGCTGAATTTTCAGTATTTCTGGACCTGAGTGCGGTATTCCAGCCACCAGATGTCACCTCCTGCAAAGACAGACTTTAACTAGTGTATGTTTCTGTCTCCAGCTATTACAGGGACTACACAGATAAAGAGAAAGAGATGTGTCACCGAATGTTCGCTCCTTATGATAACGGCTCTACAGTAGGAGAAAATTGAAGGTAATCAAAGGGCTGAAGCATAAAAGGCTTCAGGATTTTGTCCAACATATGGAAGGTTGGCTGTTCTCCTCAGTCCACTATTGAATAGTGGCTGTCTACAATTGAGCATAGATGGGAGGAGTAGAAAGTTCCTTGTGGAGTGCACATACCACGGGCCTTCTCGTGAAGAAGATCAGGGAGAAGATTGCAAAGTGCACCCAGAACTGAGGTTAAATTGATAGGTTTGGGAGGTGTTAAGCTTTAAAATTAAAAACTTCTCCATGTTTTATGTTAACCTCTCCCTCACAGGAGCTTGGAACATGAAGCTGTGAGTATAGTCATTAATGTGGTGGTTTATCAGGGCTTTGAAATGAAGAGGAATGCCTTTCTTAATCTGTTTTTCCTGAAAGCCCCCAACATCACTTTACAATGAACACATTGTTAACGAAGACAAAATCCAGATGTTGAGGGGCAGGGATGGGCCAGGACTCTTAGGTTCTGCTTACTGTTAGTCCAAGAGATTGGAAGGTGTTAGAACCACCGGGGATCAGAACCTAGCCTTCCAGCTGCAGCAGACGCCCTGTGGTCTAGCAGCCATAGGGTTAAGGTTTCCCCGGGAGTTCATGAGCGGACTCTCTAGTCTGGTTTACTATTACTTAAGAAAATTAATGGAAACAAAATCACCTGCCTTCAACACCTGCTTAGCTGGGTAGATAACTCTGCTCTCTTGGGAGAAGTTAAACAAGGAGCAACAAGAAAACAGCTGCCGAATGGGCTCATGGTAATAAATCTCCCCTTTGTTGCTACCTACATCTCTCTACAAAAGAGGTTGGAGAGAAGGCGGCAGTGAAAAGGCCTATTCATCCCAGACATTTTCACAAGTGATCTAAAAACTGCTGTTCTCAGCCCTGTCAAAAACAACCGGTCGGTATCAGAAGTCAACGTTGCCTTTATCATGGACTCTGACCCTGTGACCCTGGCCTTCAGGTCTTCGGGGACATTGGAGTATTTGTAGGTCTTCTGAACGGAGACGTGAGCCAGAGGACTTCTCCTGTTTGGCAGCTGTTGATGTGCGGCAGGAAGGGAGGTTTGCTGGCTTCTTACCAGACATTTTGGACTGTCATCTGGCATGTCCTGCCATTTAGCGAAGACCCAGTTCTTCCACGGTCCATCCTGGAAACAGATCTGGGAAAATCCAGCAGGGCAGCTGCTTCTTGTCGTCTCTGCTCTCCCCTCCTCCTGCCCTTTCTCTGTCTCCAGGGCATTTTGGACCTGATGAGTTTTTAGATGGTTTCCCAGATATTCCTATGTCTTGGGTGTTTTGTCAAATTACCAATGACTGTGTTTCGGTCTAAAATAGCCATTATTATTCTACTCCCACTGCTGTTGAGATTATAACATATTTTGGCTTCTGGGTCTTTGGTGTTCTCTCTGCTACGCTCTTTTTCTGTTGTACTTGTGACTAGTCAGTTACTTAAAATGTCCAAGTTTTCAGATTCTTTTTTGACAACCTAGTTTTGACAAAATTTGTTATTTTCCAAGATGTTAAATCCTAGTGATCTGTCTTCATCTTGTTTTCCAAGATGTTGAGCCTTCTGGTAGAATGAGTGTTCTCTCAATTATGTTCTCGAAGCTCCTGGTCATAACAGACTACATTTTGTGAGATCAGAGACCACGTCTTTTTTTTGTCTTTGTATTTTCTAGCATCTGAAACCATGCCCAGCACATGACGGGCACTCAGTAAATGTTGGTTGGATCAAGCGTAAAATAGCTGAAATGCTAGACCAGCCTCTTTGAAACCATATCCTCCAGGCTGGCTCTCATATTGGCTGTCAGGACACTCGTCCTTGCCAGTGACAGAAACCTGTCTTCAGCTAGCATCAGCTAAAAAAGAGATATGCTGAAGGGATTTGGGGAGCTCGCAGAATCAATTCTTGAACAGCCAGGCCTTGGGCAGGTGGAGACCTGCAGCTCTGAAGGCCTCGAGGACCTCGTCCCATCTCTGCTGCATGCTCTCCCACCGTAAAGCGTGCCCAGGGGTCCCTTCCACAGCCTTTCTATTTGAGAGCGAACTCTTCCCTACCCCATACCTCCCTCTTCTTCCTGTACCAGCCAGGGCTCCAGTTTGAAAAATCTCAAAGCAGGACTTTGGCCTGTTTGGGTGTATAGAGACCCATGAGTGGCACCCCTTCCTAGCACCACAGAGCAGGGACGTGGGGAGCAATGACGAGTAAGAAGGCTGCTTGTCCCAGAGAGCAAGGGGAGGAAGAGGGGAAAACTCTGCTGAGCCCAGCCTCAAAGAAGGGCAGCACTGGGCACAGGTGTGAGCGGTGGGGAGAAGACCAGGAATTCAGAGCTGAAGTCCGTTGTGGATCACCCAGCATTTCAGTCCTCTTTGGAGCGTGGGCTGTGCTCTGTAGGTTTCAGAGGAGGGGAAAGATGTGATCTTTCCAGCTCATGCTAAGCAGGTTCTGAAGGGGGGCAGGGGAAGGGCACATTGGAAGGGCAGGTGGCAGGTATTGGAGAGGCAATGACAGCCTGGAGTTAAACACACGAGCAGAAATGGAAAGGAGGCAGGAGCATGAAGCCTCCCATCTGGAAAGGCTGGGAGGGAGCTTTCTGTCAGTAGGATTCTAGTACTAAGTGGGAATTTGGCTGGAGGAGGAGGAGGACCATAATGCCAAAGGCTCTACAGGATAACCTGTGGGCAGTGGAAGAAGGGACTAAAGCTGTTCTGGAGAAGAGAAGCTTTAAGGGGGCAGTGGGGGGACAGAATTGGAAGTTCAGAGGTGATCCTGGTACACACCAGGAGTGATGGGGAAAGCTTCCTGGAGAAGGCAGAACTTGAGCGAGTTTACAAGGTTAACTCGCAGGTTTGGATAGACCGAGGAGACTCCCCGACCCGGCCATCTTACCTAGGCATGGTTTTAATGTACTTGGCTTTCGGTTTGTCTTATTTTTTTTCCAGATTGTTTTGGTAGCATTACTTACTGTTTATTCATTTTTTTCATAGTTTAATTTTGATCAAACTATTTATTAAACATATTCAATGTGTCAGGTACTCTTACGTGTTTTACGTGGATAAATTCAATATTTCTAGAACATAGGTGTCCTCTCCGTTTTATAAACGATGAGTTTGATGTGAAGAAGCTAACCTGCCACAGTTACGTAGCTAGTAAGTGAAAGAGCCAGAGTCAAATCTGGAGCCACACATTGGAAAAAAAAAATACTAAAGCATTTACCAAAGGAAACCGATTTTAACTTCTGTTTCTCCTGGGGATTGTTCCACGTAACTAGATATTCCGTATTCTACGTAGCTAAATGTTATGTTTATACTGCGATTTCTTGATTTTTTTTTTTTTTTTTGGTCAGTTTTGGACTTTTATCGGTTGACTTCTTGTGATATGATACAATACCATTTCTTTCCTCCTTTATAGTTAGGTCACTGTTCTCAGCCCCTGTTAGGTTATTGTAATGAAAATATTACAGTGATGTTTCTGATTTCATAAGCTAAAGACAGTATTTTCTGTGCTCCACTTTATGATGAGACTGTTACTAACTGAAAAGCCAATGCTGTGTTGTTGTTGTTTTTTTAAGATTTTATTTATTTATTTGACAGAGAGAGACACAGCGAGAGAGGGAACACAAGCAAGGGGAGTGGGAGAGGGAGAAGCAGGCTTCCCGCCGAGCAGGGAGCCCAATGCGGGGCTCGATCCCAGGACCCCAAGATCATGACCTGAGCCAAAGGCAGGACGTTTAACGAATGAGCCACCGAGGCGCCCCTTTTAAGAGCTTTCGTTGTTCCTACAATTTCAAACTGCGTTTGTTTTTGTTTCTTGAACTGTTTGCTTTTATCCTTACCTCTTCAAAAACTGTGTGGTACCATTTAGTCAATGACTCTCCTTTCTTCTCAGGGTTCTTCCTCTTAGAAGTGTCCTGTTTTATATAACAGTCTCTACAGAGTGTCCCATAGGCTGATGCATAGCTGCCATTCTGGGATTTTGTTTTTCTCCTGGGTTGAATCCACTGTCTACTGGATCTCTTTTCTTGGTTTACTTCCTTCTTCTGATATTCTCAAGTAACATCCAAAAACTGGATATAGAAGAGATAAATTTTTCACCTCCTTATATGTCCAACTCACACTTGATTACAGACACATAGCTGGGTATAGATTTTAGAATGAAAAGAACCCCCTCCCCACTTACAGCCTATCCCCCAGTTGAAAGCTCCCTTCCTCATTAGAAACTCTCCCCCTTTTAGGACTTGCCCCCCAGTTAGTTCTGTCCCCCTGCCCAGACCCCATTTAAAAGATCTCTGCTCTCAAACTGTGCCTCCCTCCACACCTAGCCCTCACAGCTCTCCCCTCAGACCTCACCCCACCCCCAAATGGCTCTCCTGTCTGTACTCCTCTCCCTTCTCAGAGCTCCTCCTCAGCAACTCCAGATGTTGGTAAAAGTATATCTCTTTATTTTTACCTTCTCTAAAATTTCACAGTAGTGTGTCCAGGTACCCCCAGAAGCTCAAGTCCTTTATATAGGCACCTTAATTCTAGAGGTTCAGGTTCTTGAGAGCTAAGCAATTCCAGATTTCTTTAATGAAATTTTCCTCCCTTTCCCCCACCCTTCTCTTGTTCTAGGACTCCTGTTCGTTGGATGTTGGACCTTCTGCAGGGATTCTCTATGTCCTTTATGTCTCTTTTAAGTTTTCTCTCCTCCTCCCTTACCCTCCAGGGAAACATACCACATCTTCCATCTCTTTCTTGTTGGCTTTTTTCATTTCAGCAATCAAATATTTGAAACCACAAGATCTTTTCCAATTTCCCTTTTTCATAGTATCCCACGTTCCCCCTACACACACACTTTTGTATTATGAAAAATCTCAAACTTCAACAAGTAGAATAATGATTCTCCCATGTATTCAGCCATTAGGTTTAACAGTTATCAACATAAAGCCAATGTTTCCATCTCTGACCCCACACATTTCCTCCCCACCCCTAGCACTGTCAGGTTAATTTGAAGTGG